GACTGAAAGATGGTCGCGCGCGGGCGGTGCGCCTCGATCGGATCCGGGTCGGCTATCGCACGTCAAAAGCCAGGTCAGATCAGCAAAGTGAAAGAGCAAAGAGGGAGGAGAGAGGGGGGTGTCTTACGCTGTCGCAGGTCGCGGGGGAAGGCACCGGCTGGGTTTTCAGCCGACACACCAGGTCCACGGAACTCGGTGGTTTGGCCCGGATATTTACTGCACGAAGGACGGTCAGCATGAAGATCAGGTGTGCAGAGGAGGGAGACAACGTACGCTTCGTTCTGGAACGCCACGTTGGGCGTGCCCTCGTCGGCGGCAGACATGGTGAATACTACAAAAGACAAGAGATGGTGGTGAGGAGCAGACGAATGAGCAGGCGAGCAGGACAAGCAGAAGAACAACAGCCAAATAGATGACTCAAATCCAGCCGAGCCGCAACGGTGGCTTCAGGATCGGTGCCTGGCTCGCGAAGAACGCAGCGGGATGACTGCGGACGGAGGTGTGGCCGTGTGGAGGACCCTCGTACGCCGGGCAAGTGCAGCTCTCATCTACGCACGATGACGATGTCGGGCCTCCGTCGCGGAAAATGCAACTGACTGTCTGATCCGACGGTCTCACATTGATGTCGCTGAGAAAATCGCATCGTCCGAGTCAAAGCTCGGCAGCCGGAAGATCAAGGGTCTCGGATGCGATGGTCCATGCTCAGCTCCTCCATCTCGACCCGGTCTCACCCATCTCTTTCGGCGACTGGCACACCAAGACGACCACTCGACCAAGATGGGACTACCAATGTGAGCTCAACCCCGACCTTGGCACTCTGCACTGCAACCTGCGCATCACTCTGACCTGTCCCTTTGTACATTTGGCAGCACCGTCTCGACGTGCTCGCTCAACCAGTGGGCGCTCGACTTTGACGGCAACCGCGAGCGCATCCTCGAATCGATCCGTCTGGCCAAGGCTGCAGGCTCGCGTCTGCGCGTCGGACCCGAGCTCGAGATCCCCGGCTATGGCTGCTTCGACCACTTTCTCGAGCCGGACACTGTGCTGCACTCGTGGCAGGTGCTCGGCGAGATCCTCGCCTCCGATGCGACGCACGGCATCCTGTGCGACGTCGGCATGCCCGTCCTCCACCGCTCGACACTCTACAACTGTCGCCTCCTCCTGCTCGACGCCAAGATCCTCCACATCCGCCCCAAGATGTGGCTCGCCAACGACGGCAACTACCGCGAGATGCGCTACTTTACGCCCTGGACACGCACCAACCACACGGACGATTTCACACTGCCTCGCATCGTCGCCGACATCACTGGCCAGCATTCGGTGCCGTTTGGCGACGCAGTCGTCAAGACCAGGGACACGGTGCTGGGCGTCGAGCTGTGCGAGGAGCTCTTCACCCCGAACTCGCCGCACATCCGACAGGGCCTGAGTGGCGTCGAGATCTTTACCAACTCGTCGGCATCGCACCACGAGCTGCGCAAGCTGTATAGGCGCGTCGAGCTCATCAAGGAGGCGACGCTCAAGCTGGGCGGCATCTATCTGTACGCCAACCAGCAGGGCTGCGACGGCGACCGGCTCTACTACGATGGCTGCCCGCTCATCGCGGTCAACGGCAGCATCGTCGCGCAGGGCTCGCAGTTCTCGCTCGACGATGTGCAGGTCATCTCGGCGACGGTGGATCTGGACGATGTGCGCGCGCACCGTAGCGCCAAGAGCCGTGGCATGCAGGCGGTGAGCGAGTCGATCGGCGAAGGATGCGCGCGCATCAGCGTCGATTTTGACCTGGGCGAGTCCGAGGAGTTTGGATCCAAGACTCCCGGCACCGCCACGCCCGACACCTCCGCGCACAACCGAAAGGATGGGCGCGGTGCAGCGTCGGATGCGACACGCCTGTATCGCCGCTACTTTACGCCGCTGAGCCAGCCGATCGAGGTGCGCTACCACTCGCCCGAGGAGGAGATCGCGCTCGGACCGGCGTGCTGGCTCTGGGACTATCTGCGCCGCTCGCGCACCCAGGGCTACTTTGTTCCGCTCTCGGGCGGCATCGACTCGTGTGCCACCGCCACGATTGTATTCAGCATGTGCAGGCTGGTGCTCGCGGCGCTTTCGAATCCTCGTGGTGGAGAATCGCGAGCGGGCGCCTCGGTGTTGACGACCGACACGCGCGCGCAGGTGCTGTCGGACGTTCGCCGGATCTGCAACGAGAAGGAGGATTCGACGTGGGTGCCTGCCACGCCGCAGGAGCTGTGCAACCGCGTGTTTGTGACCTGCTACATGGGCACCGAGAACTCGTCGGCGGAAACGCGCGCGCGGGCCAAGCAGCTAGCGGCCGACATTGGCGCCTACCACGTTGACCTCGACATGGACGTCGTCATCCGCGCCATCGTCGGGCTCTTTAGCACAGTCACGGGTGCCACGCCGCGCTTCCGCGTGCACGGCGGTACGCCAGCCGAGAATCTGGCGCTGCAAAACATCCAGGCGCGTCTGCGCATGCTGCTCGCCTACATGTTCGCGCAGCTCACCCCCTGGGTGCGCGGCTCGTGGGGCGGCCTCCTCGTGCTCGGCTCGGCGAATGTCGACGAATCGCTCCGCGGCTACCTGACCAAGTACGACTGTAGCTCGGCGGATATCAATCCGATCGGTGGAATCAGCAAGACGGATCTCAAGGCGTTCATTGGGTACGCGCAGCATGCATTCGACCTCCCCATCCTCGAGTCCTTCCTCACCGCCGTCCCCACGGCCGAGCTGGAGCCGATCACCGAGACGTACGTGCAGGCGGACGAGGCGGATATGGGCATGACGTACGACGAGCTCAGCATCTTTGGTCGTCTCCGCAAGAATCTCAAATGCGGGCCCTACAGCATGTTCAACAAGCTGCTGCAGGAGTGGGGCCCCACGCTGGGGGCGGAAAAGGTGGCGGAAAAGGTCAAGCTGTTCTGGTTCGAGTATGCGCGCAACAGGCACAAGATGACCACGCTCACGCCGAGCTACCATGCGGAAGGGTACAGTCCGGACGATAACCGCTTCGACCTGAGACCGTTCCTGTATCCGAGCCGGTTTCCGTTCCAGTTCCGCAAGATCGACCAACTCGTGGCGCGGCTTGCGTCCGTATCGTCCGAGGATCAAAAGCACGACTAGATTGCGAATAGACGGTGCATTGGTCTATGATGCGCGCGGTCGGTTGCGCCAAGCTGCTTTGGCGGGTGCTTGGATGCGCAGCGTGACGAGCCAGGCTGTGGCACTGATGGCCCACATGACGGCCCAGCTAAACTGACCCGCCCAGACGTGGTTGGAAGTGGAGTAGGCGAAGAGCGAGGTGCTGAACGTCGGTCCGATGGTGCGGCTCAAACAGCCCGCCATCTGACTTACGCTGTTGAGCGTGGCCAAGCTCGCCCGGGTGGGGGCAGCGTTGTTGACGAGCAAGCTGGAGCATACGATCGACATGTTGCTGATCCCGCGCAGCACGATTGCGACCAGCAGCACGGCGACAATGCCTGCCTTGGACCCGGTCGTGCTGGCGATGATGTGCGCAAGGGGAAAGCAGATCCATACGAGCGGCAGGGCGGCAGTGACGCGCTTGTACACGGGTGCCGGTCCACCCAACCTCCGCTCGAGCGTCGGAAAGGCGATGAGCTGGATAAAGATGGTGAACGCCCCATTGGTGGCTAGGATCGAGCCAATGTCCGACGAGCTGAGCGACAGCCCACCGTGCGCAATGGCCGTGTAGCAGAAGAGCGGCAGCAGCGCGGCATGGCAGGCGTTGAGAAAGTTGAGCCAGAACTGCGTCGAGAGGATGCGGCGGATGGTCACATCCCCCAGCAATGCCCGGATCGACATGGGTGCATCCTCGTCCTTGGACCCCGCAGGCTGTGCGGTCCTGTGCGCGCTTCGCTTGTGCCTGGGCAGGGTTTCCTGGAGAAAGATGCTGCCGAGGACGATGGCGCAGAGATTGAACGAGCTTGCTACGGCGCATGGCAGCCAGAACGGATGGTGCTTCCACCACTGTCCCTCGCCCACACCCACCAGCCACCCGCCCAGTCCATTGCCCACGATGCTGCCCACCGCAAAGCAGAGCGGGATGAGGCTGAACGCGCGAGCCTGGTTGGTCTCATCGGTGATCTCGGCCAACACACTCTTGAGGATGGCAATATTGCCATTCATCAGCCCGGCAATGGAGCGCGCCAGGACCATCTGTGGGAATGTGCGTGCGAGTCCGAATGCGTTGACGGACAGAAAGGAGCCGAGAAGGCCGATGAGCAGTACGGGCTTGCGGCCGATGCGGTCCGAGAGGCGCGCCCAGAAAAAGATGGTGAGGAACTGGACGAACGCAAACGCCGACTCGACCACGCCGGCATAGTAGCCCAGCTGCGAGTCCGGCACCGACGCCGGCAGGTTGGCGCGCAGCATCGCATTGACAAAGGGGAAGATGACTGTGAACGACATCGGCTCCGTCATGCGCATCAGACACAGCACAAACAGCTGCTTGCGCGGCAGCGGTGTTGCGCCGGTCCGAACGGGCGCCTGCTCGTCATCGTGAGGTGGGTGCGAGAGGGACGACAGCAGCGGTGTTGTTTCGTCGCCATCGCGACGTGGTGGTGACATGTTGTTGGTGGTGTTCAGGAGGGAGGATGCATGTCGACGAGGTGGAAGAGTCATAAGGTTGGCCTTGCACGAAGCCGCTGTACGAGGGCGTCGGCGCCGATTCAAGACATTTCAGCCTGCCAGCCGAGCGGAGTGCCGAGGTCGAATACTCAAAAAAGTGCAAACCTTAGGGATGACTGCACGCTGCTGCCGGTCAAATGTTGTGCCGGCTTGGAGCTGCCGTCGACCGCGTGGATTTGCGCCTCTTTGCTTGTGCTTGGATAGCCGAGCGCGCCCACTCGTTATTCCGACTTAGTCACCGCCCAACCGCGCCAAACCTCCACACCAACACCTGCTTCGACCCCCTCGCCCACACCACCATCCGCCTCTCGTCCATGGCGCATCCGTGTCGGCTGCTCAGCATGGTCTCCACTCGCTCCTCCTCCGCCTCGTCCTCGTCGTCCTCCAAGCCACCATCCAAACCAAAGCCGCTTGCTGCAGCCTCCTCCAAGTTCCCCTACGATCTGCCGTACGCCTCGCTGTGTCTGCGCACCCATCCTCGGCTCTACCGCACGGGCGTCGGCGAGCAGGGCGTGCTCATGGTGGAGCCGTACAAGTCCGAGCTGCTCCCCTCCTGGCGCTTCAAAGACCCTGCTGCTGCACGCACCTCGTCCACCGCACTTCTCGCTGCCTTTCGTGCGTACCTTGAGGAGGACGACTTTGTGGGCGCCGACATGGCGCGCAAGTTCATCCAGATGGGCTACACACGTGCGCGTAGATACGCAAACCACACGGGTGGGAAAAAGTACGCCGAGCCCAAGCAGAAGGGCGTCAAGGCAAAGCAGATCCCCAGGTTGGCGCCAGAATCGCAGGATCCAGACAAGGTCGAGGCGGCCAGGATCTTCAAGGCGGTGCTCGACGACCAGGTGTGGACCGACAAGAGATACACAGCCATGAGGGAGGAGCATGTGCAATGGGCGAAACAAACGCCCTGGCCCACAAAGGATGACCAAGAGGTGCAAAAGGCTATCCTGCACGATCCGGGGCAGAGGCAGGTTCGCAAAGCGCAATAGTGTGTACAGTTGATGGTGTAACACGCGTCTGAAAATTCACAGGTGTCAGATTCCGCGCCGACGCTCGGTTCATCTCTCGACGTTTCTCCACTTTGGTCACTCGATCCTTCTTGCCCTAGCACAACTTCGACCGCTAGCACACTGTATCGCCTGCGATGACAAACATTGTACAAGCAGCCGACTCGAGCGCCGCTGCAGCGTCCAAGGCCAGCCAGCAAGATGCATCCCCCGAGCTCACCGCACGCGATGCTGTCGACCACGACGACAATAACAGTAACGCCGACGACGACGAGGGCGAAGATGACGACGACGAGGAACAAGAAGCAGACGACAACGCTCAAGACGGCAGTGTAGCAGAAGAGAACGAGCAAGATGACGCCGAGGAAGAGGACGAAGAGGAGGAGAGCGACGAGGGCGGGGATGTGGGCCTGTCGTACCTGCTTGAAGATGTAAGTGGCTCGCCTCACAGCTATCGCCTCAAACATGCAGACTTACTCGGCTCTACTGCACGCGACAGCACGATGACGACGACGAGGACGATGACGACTTTGAAGAGTCGCACGACGAAGACGACGACGACGATCCAGGTATGCGCGCCATCCTCCCCCACCCACTTCCCTCACACACTGACGCTCCCTCTCTCTGTCCACTTACTTCACTGCCGCAGAGATCCAAGAGTCGGACGACGAGGACAGCACACCCGCATCGAGTCACAAGCGCAAGAAGCCCTCCACCGCCACCACTTCCGCCAAGCGCACGCGCGGCTCCACCTGACGTTGCTGCCATTGTCCGAGGTATAAATCATGTACACTACATGCTGCGTCTATCTATCTATTTGGACAGGATGGCGTCGGCTGCCTTTTCAGCTACGCCGTAGAGCGATGCGCTGAGATGGGCGGAGAGCTGCACCGGAACGACGCTCGCATCGACGACGCGCACGTTGGTCGTGCCGTACACCTTGAAGTTTCCATCCACCACGCCGCCGTTTTGCTTGGGCGCCATAGCCGCCGTCCCCAACTGGTGGCTCACCGCCGAGAAGCCCGATCCGCCTCCCTGGAGCGTACCCAGGATCCAGGCACGCCACTTTGCATACGACCCCGAGTTCGGACCATCGGGAATCAGCCCGAAGCCGGGCGTGGTTTCGCCGTTGTACGTGAGACTCTTGAGGTGCGAGTTCTTGAGCACGCGTCGGGCGGCACGCAGCGACTGCACCTGCATATCCATGTCGATGGGCAGACCAAAGTAGTTGGGATCCACGCGCGGCGCATCGAACGGGTTGCCCGACGTCGCACGCACCGAGCCGCGCGAAAAGGGCAGCAACGTCCAGAGGTCGATGCCGTACGAATTGGCCGGGTAGCCGGTATCGAAGAACATCTCGACGATCGGTGCGGCCTGGTCAAAGATCAGTGACACCGCGCTGTTCCACTGTGCAAGCAGGCCCGATTTGCTCGCAACGTGGCCGGCCGAGACGAGCGTGTCGGCCCAGCTGTCCAGGTTGGACGAGATGTAGCCGCGCACGGCCGTGGCATTGGAAAAGACCTGGTGGACGTTAGGCATTCCAATCGCGGCCGAGGGGCCACCGCCGTTGTAGTTGACGTTGGCGCGCGAACCGAGTGTGGTCATGGTTTGATCTTGCAGGTTCTTGCCCACGCCGTCCAGTGCGAGTTTCTGGTCGACGCCGATCGAGTCCAGATCAGCCTTGGCGCCCACACCGCTGCGCTGCAGCAGCGTCGGCGTATTCAGCGCTCCAGCAGCCAGCACCACCTCGCGCTTGGCGTTGAGCGTGACCAGATTGCCATCGTGCGACTGCTGCACCACCACCCCCGAACTGCTCAGTCCCGAGGAAGACTGTGTGCCCCAGAGCATGTTGCGAGCACGGGTGCCCGTAAGCACCGTGAGATTCTCGCGGTTCTGCACCGGCGTGTAGTACGCCGAAGCCGAGCTGGTCCGCCTTGCGTTGGTGCCGATCGAGTTGGGCGTGTAGGCGACCGAGTTGGCACTGCCCGAGCACTGGTCGTCTACCTTTTGCACGCCCAGCGTCTCGCCGATCGCCGCGATGAACGCCGCCTGTTGCGGGCCGGTGTACATTCGTCTCCACTCCTGCGATGCCCCTCCCGAACGGCGCTGGTTGCGGATCTGCGAAAAGGCGATCTCCAAAGGTCCCCCGCTCCCGTGCACGCTTGCGTCGTAGCGGGCCCCCGCACCCTGCTGTGCCGAGTTCGGCGCGATAAAGTTCTCGCTCTTCTTCATGTACCCCAGCAGGCTGTCCCAGCTCCACCCCGAACTGCCAACAAGACCGCCGAGTGCATCGTATTGCGCGCGCGAGGCGCGGTTCCACGCCGCACCATTGATGCTCGTCGAGCCACCGAGCGTCTTACCGCCAAGAGGCGCCTTGGTGCGCCCACCGATCTGCGGGACCGTGGTAAAGTGCCAGGTGAGCTCGGTGCCGAACGCCTTGCCGTAGTTGTCCACGTTGTACACATCCGGGTTGTTGCGGTCGTCGTTTCCTGCTTCGATGACGAGCACTGATGTATTGAAGTTGGCCGAGAGGCGGTTGGCGACGGTGAGGCCAGCGAGACCTCCGCCCACGATGATGTAGTCGTAGCTCTGGCCCGACAGGCTGCTGGCGTCGGTGACGATCGCGCCGAATGCAGACGAGGCGCACACCAGCAGCACCGCCAAGGCGGCAAACGATTGAGAGAGTTGCATGGTCCTGCTGCCGATCCCGGAGAGTGAAGGAAGGGGTAATGGGAGGAGAAGATTGCTTGCTGGGATGTATGCGCGCTCTCCTCATCCATCTCGGGCCAGGTGGGCTTTATACATCGGCCGGGCATGATGATGAGATCCTATGCAGCCTTTCTGCGGCGAGGCAGCTGGACGGTACATCGCTGTACTGGATAGCAGGCGGAGCGACAGCGTCCGGGCGGATGCTGAAACACTGCGCTCACTCATGCCGTGTGTGGGCGGGACCAAGCTACCGGCTCGCGGTGGAGGAGGGTCCTGATCTCAGCGCCGGGTGCGCATTCATGCAGCCTACTTTTTTTTCCGTCGAGAAGCGAGTTGTCTGCGGAGTTCCCTGTCCCTCCGCTCTACGCAGCAACATGACCGGCGGCGTACAAGCGAGAGGTTCGGGAGCCAGCATTGCGGCAATGATGATGTCGCAGTGCTCTTCCCGCCAGCACCGCAAGCACCGGCAAACAGCGGGATCCGCAAGTGGTGTTCGGAGTTCCGTGCGTCTTGAACGAGACGGCTCTGTTTCACCGCTGTCGGTTTGATACCCTCCGAGTCCCGACCCCACCCTCCGCCCCCATTCATCAATTCTGGTAGGTCTGCATCCACAGTCAAACATCCATGCTTCTTCTTCAGGACATTGCGGTATTTGTGAGCGATCTCGTGAGGTGTTGACGAGTGTGGATGGAGTTGGGCATGCGTCGCCATGTGGGGGGTCGGATATGAACTGGTGTCGGCGCCGTTCCTGGACTTGCCAAATTTGGCTTTCAGACGGGCGCGTTCGGTTGGCGAGCAAACAAAAATCGAAAAGAAAGCCGCTCGCCAAGCAATTTTTTCCCGTCGCGCCGAAAAGCCCGACGCCGCACAGCCGTTGCATCATCGCACAGTCGGGTCTCAGACGCAAATCGTTCGGTCCGCGCCGCCCCGAAACAGGCAAAAACTCGCACTTTCGAGCCCGACCAAATCCTCGTTGGTTTTTCCTAACCTTTGTCTGATTCCGACGATGTAACCAAGCTGGTACGTAGTGAAGCGTTGTCTGTCTTTGCCGATCAAACACACTATCCGCCTTTTTTCCCCCGGCCCGGCTGGCGCATGCATTCGCAGGCGTCGTTCTGGCAGACATTCCGCAGGGAGCAACACCATCTAAGTGCCAGCAACACACGCCAACAGCCGGACCAAAGAGCGGTTAAAAGTACATCGGATTCGCATTTTTTGTGGTAGTGTATACAGCATCTCGAGTGCAGCTCATCAATCCCATCCGCTCGCAGCGTAGGGGTTGACGGGCGGCGGCTGGTAGCCATTCATATCACCTGCGCCAGTGTCGTATCCGCCATTGGCTCCGGCGGCAGGCGCACCGTACGGGTCCATGATGCCGTTTTCCATGCCGCCAGCGCCCGCTCCGGGCTGCTCGTCCATCATGCTGAGCTCCTGCACGATCTGCGCCACGCGGTACTCGAGCAGCCCCAGGCCCGTTTCGACGATCTCGGCCGGATGCATGGAGCCGCTGCTCTCCACGTCAAAGTAGAACCGATTCGCCTTCTTGTTGTAGTCGAACGGCGCGCCTTCTTGCGGCGGCTCCTCCAGTTCGGCATTGGGTCCCTCGGGCCATTCCTGCTTGGCGTCGTATTCGTACCAGTACGTGGTGTGGCGCAGCGCGTTGTGCGGATCGTATTCGAAGCCCACGGCGGAGCATGGCGACCATTTGGCATGCTCCTTGGCGAAACCCTTGCGTGCAATGCACCGGATGTCGAGTTCTTGCCCCTTGGACATCTTGACCAGCATGATCGGCGCCATCGACCCGTCGTGCCCCACCGGTCGACCAAAGTCGGGATGCTTCGGCGCAGCTGGCTCGTTCATGGCGTCATCGTCAAACATCTGCGCACCTTCGATCGAGTCGGAGCGTATCAAGTCGCGCGACGTCACCTCGAGGTTGCCGCGCGTCGTGCAGCGCGCGCGCAGTGTCAGCTCCACCGAGCATCGGTCACATCCATCCTCGCATGCACAGTCCTAACCCAACCGCAAATTCCAGCAAAGTCAGCATCCCAGCACATTCGAGTACACAAGAGGGTTGAGGGGGGTCGACTTACCCTGTGGTCGACGAGCGCCTTGGCGCAGTCCATGCTGAGCAGCGGGATCAAACCCAGACGATGCGCCAGGAACTCGTCCGGCAGCACAGTCGTATTGTTGCGAATCTCGACCATGTCGATCGCCACCGTGGGGATGTCGGCGATCATGATGCGCCGCAGCGAGTTGGCAAACGACAGATCCACGTTCTCCAGGATAAAGTTCGCACGGTCGCGGTTCAGCTGTCGCACCGTGATCTTGGGCCGCTGCGCCGTCACGTCGTACCGCGCCGATGATCCGTTCATCTTTGCCTATGGTCCTGCTCTCGCTTTATCCTGTGCGTCGAGCTGCGATGGCCAGAAGGGCGGGCGTGCGCCGTGCGGATCGGATCCGGATCCCCCCGCAAGACCGCGTTGGTCTTTTCTCAAGTGGACTTGGTGCTGTCAAAGTCACACACCTTGTTGCCAGTATATGCTGGGCGTAGATTCGGAACCTGATCCTGCGTGTGGTGTCGTGTCGTCCGAGTGAGGATGGAGATGGGCCGCAAGCTTGGCGTGAGCAAGGTGGTGAGAAGGAATGCCAACGACGGGGCGCAAGCGCGAGTGTTCGCCGATTCCAGATTCCACTGAGCCAGCCATCCCTCGTGGAGAAGCGCGCGTCACGTGACACTACCACGAACCTAACACTTTGCAATTTTCCGCTGCCTCAAACAGTGGCTCCATAAGCTGTTCGGCATCCACCCAATGCTTCGCTACAGTTGACACACACTGAAACGCACAGCTGGTGGGCAAGGTCTCATTGAACTGGCGGCTAAAAGCCATGGCTGGTCCATATCTTGAAATCGTCGCCCTTGCTGGCGGCCTTGTTTGCCGGGTCTTCTCTGTGGTGGTGCTGGTGTTGCTGCGGCTGCTGGCGGCGCACGACACCGTGAGGCTGAAGCCCCGAATGCTGCTGCGACTCGGACGACCGTTCGTAGGCCAGGATTTGCTGCTTGAGCTGCCTGCGCTCCGCCTCTTCCTTGAGCTGCTTGGTGCGTGTGTTGATGGCGATCGAAGCGGTCGCGGGCACGTGCACCTCGTGGGTGACCTGCTTGGAGCCCTTCTTGGAGAGCAGCGAGAACTTCATGTGCGAGCCTGCCTCGGCCTCGACACCGCCGTTCGCCTGTTCGGCTGCTTTCTTCTTGATGGGCAGCCCGATCTCGGACAGGCTCGACCCGGATGCGTGTGCGTGCGCGTGCGAATGCGCAGGGCCGTAGCTGGCGCCACCGGAAGGAAGCGCGGCACGAGAGAAGAATTGATGCGGCCGTTGCGAGGTCGAAGCGCCGGCTGATGATTGCGCCGTCGCCGTGCCGGGGCCGCTGGACTCGACCATCATTCTCGCGAGCTCGCGGTCGAACTCGTCGTCCGCTTCCCTGCGCGCCGCAAGCTCTTCGTTCAGCAGATGACGCTCTGCTGCTGCCTCTTCGTCGTCTGAATCGTCGGCGTCCGAAGAGCCGGATTCCGACCCGTCGCTGTCCGAGGCGTCCGAATCACCCGACGAGGAAGAAGAAGCCGATTCGGACGAGTCGGACTCGGACGACGACGATGAGGAAGAGTCGCTCGAGTCTTCGCTGTCGGACGCGTCGGACGCCGCCTGGTTGCGAGCCTTGTTCCTCCTGCGCTTCCCCGAGCCTTGCGGGGCACTGGCCTCATGTGCGTCTGCTCGGCTGCCATGCCTGCGCGCGTCGGAGCTGTTTCCGTCGCTCTCCTCCTCCGCATCGGCTTCTGCCTGCGGCGCTAGCTGTCTGTTGGCTGCCATCATCTCTTCCAACGCCGCTGCGGCCTCGCCGAACGTCTTCCTGAACTTGAGCTCCGGTCGCAGCGCCTCGAGCGTCTCGGTGAGCGTAAAGTCCACATCCATGGGCAGAGGCTGCTGCTTGCACAAGACGTAGAAGTTGAGGAACACCAAAAAGTCATCGAGCTTCTTGCGCAGTGAGCCGCGGTCGAAGCACACGCCGCACGTGTCGAGCAGCGTGCAGATCAAGCGGATGCGAAAGTAGTCGTCCGGTGCATCGAGGGGTGCCACTTGACCAGGCCAGGGCCTTCCCTTGGGATGACCGAATGTGACCATCGACCAGAGCTGCTCGAACACGATGCCGCTGTTGACGAGACGGTAGTTGTACAGCTCGCCGAGGTAGCACGCGGTGGCGACGCGGCGCTGGTTGTGCTTGAAGATATTTTCCTCCATGCCGATGCGGATGTTTTCGAGCACCTGGTCGATCACATCCACGGCAAACGACGGATGGAAGCGGTCCAGATCGTAAACGAGGATGGCGAGCAGGTGAATGTTGGAATAGCGGATACGCCAGGCGCGTGTGAAGGCATCCTTGAGCCAGCCATACACGCTGGCATCGTCCCAGGCGAGCTTGCGCAGCTGCAGCACCACCGTGTCGACGGTCTTCTTGGCGAGCAGGTGGTAGATGAGATGGCGAATGTAGAGCTCCAATGGTGAGCGTACTTTCTGCTCGATGGCTTTGCGCTTCGGCGGGTTGCATTGGTAGTAGGCATTGTTGAGAAGCAGAAGCTGGCGTGAGTCGAGATTGGCGGCCGCGCGTTTGCGTCGGAGCATCTCGAGCATGCTGCGCATCTTGACCGAGGTGTCCTCGGTGCGCAAGAGGTAGCGACCGCAGCCTTCGAGCAGCGATGCGACCACCTCGACGTTGGGACCGGAAAAGTCCTCGAGGCACGTCTTGAAGCAGTGGAGGATGGCGTGCGTGGGTGTCACTTTGAACTTGGTGAGCTCCGAGAGGAAGCGTGCGTTTTTGGCGCGCGTCTCGGTGAGATCGACGTTCTTCTTGCGCTGAAGGTAGCGGAACTCGTCCTCGAGGAGCGCGGTCAGGCCGGCGCCAATGTCGGGCATGTAGCGAGACAGTGTCGCGGCGAGTCGAGCATAGTAGGGAGCGAGATCGATGCGGTTGCGGGGCAGCGATGCGAGGTGCTTGACGAGCTTTCTGCGTGCTGGCTTTGTGGCGATGAAGGCAAAGTCGACGGCAGCACTGTCGATCATGCTGCGATTTGTCATGTCGGGCAGCTTGGCCATGAGCGTTGCGAGCTGTGCAGCTGGGCCGGCGTTCATGGCCTCGTCGCCCGCGTCGGCGTCGAGCTGGGGCGTGCTGGCCGCTGTCGAAGTTTTGTCTTCTTCCGTACGATTGGCGCCGTCCTCAGCTGCATCTTGTTTGTCAGCGTTGGCGGATGAGGCGGCATGGATGCCGGTCGTCTGCGCCAAAATGGAGGGTGGGATGATGTCGCCTAGATCGAGAAGATCCTCGTAGAACTTTTGCGAGTCCTGATCTTCCCAGGGGCTCTGATCTGGGGCGAACTCTTCGTCTGCGCGTTCAAAGGCGGACTTGGAATCGAGATTGACGCCCAAGCCGACGGCGGTGGTGGCGGAAGCGGAGGATTCAAGGTCGGGCATGTCGACGCCAAGGAGATCGGAGAGGATTCGCGCCCAGTCGCGGACGCGCTCGAAGCTCTTGGTCATGCGCTCGTAGTTCTGCTGGCGGTCTTCAAAGATTTCGCCGGAGCGGATGTAGGCTTCGTGATTCTTGCGATCCTGGTCCTGGAGCCTCTGATGCTCCTTGACGACGCGTCGAGCGAGTGTCTGGAAGTAGGTCTCGAATAGTTTGCGGAACTTTGCCTGCATCTCCGACGACACAAGAGGTGCAGATGCAGGATCGAGCGCAGCGAAATCTGGCGCGTTTACTGCATCGCCAATGGTGAGTGCGCCACTGGCCTTGTCTGCGAGGAGTGACTCGTCATCTCTGGTAAGGGACGCTGCTGGGGACAGCAGGGTCTGGCCCAAGCCTTTGAGGACGGAAATGAGCAAAGGAACGTTTGCATGGTCCTTGTCGGTTGCCAAGAGGGCCTTGATGACGTTGAACAGCCAGTCGCATCCGGTGGGTGCGTCGCGAGTGTGACCGACGACGTCTACGAGGGCAAGCTCTGCTGTGACGCGGAGCAAGGGCTTCTGACGCGCGACTCGAGCTGCCTCGTCTCTCTCCTTCTGCTCTGTGGTAGCGCTCTGATAGAGGGTCTTGGAAGGAGGAGCTAGGGCGTGCTCGAGCGAGGTGGTGAGGGGCTCGCTGAATGTGGTTGAGCCAAAGCGTGCGTGAAAGGCCGAGATGATCTCGGTAGCCGCTAGGCAGTCCTTGGCAGTGACACAGCGACCAAGCCCTTCGGATACAGCCTGGATGAGCTCCTGAAGGTACTTTTCAAGATTGAGCTGGGGCAGATCTTTGAGGAGCTGGTCGCGCGCATCGTGACCGATGCTCTGCTTTGCTCGCTTGATGTAGGCGGTGTTCTTCTTGAGGTTCGAGTCGAGCGACTGGGAAGGCGGAGCTGGACCAGCCGACCACACGCCTACGTTGACTGCGCGAAGCTGACGACGTTTCCTGTCGCGCTCTCTATGCAATGCTTGGGCTTGCGAGTCGTCCTTGGCGGAGGGAACTGCCGGGGAGCCAGACGCTGCGCTGGAGGCGACCAGCGCAGCAGCGGCGGCGACCATGGGATGGGAATTTGTATCTAGCGGCGGACGGTCATGCACCTTGGGCTCGCGGTGTCTCGGTTCCAAGTTCCCTACGTGGTGATGGCGCAGTGGATGTGGCAGACACCGGACAAGGCTGCTGGTGGTGTCCGTGGATGGGACGAGGCTCGAGGGGTAAGAGGTGCGTGCGGCCACTTTCTTCCACCTCGCCGCGCTTTCATCTCGAGCCGATTCAGGGTCCGTGGTCCGTGGTCCAAATTTCAGGATGTTAGGTCGGAAGCTGGTATTCTATTTGTTAGACTTTACATTTGTCGAATTCGACTTTTTCGAGTGCGAGGAATAAAATGGCCGGCTGGGCCATGTGGCGCCTGCATAAGAGTGGAGCGTGACGGCAGCCGGTGTGTCAGCGCGGCTGAGCCCAGGCCATCCGAACCTCGGCCAAGGCTTAACCGGCTCGCGGGCACTTTGGCTGCCACTCGTCGCTGCCGGTACCGGCTGGATTGGCCGGCTCCCGTCGAAAAGGAACCCTTTTCTTCCTCGAATCCTGCATTCGAACTTGGCCACACGCAACAGAGCGCCAAGACGAGGCAGCCGGTCTACTCTATCTCCGTAGTGTCGAGCTGCAGTCTTGGCCTGCTCCACGGAGCCTGCCCCTGCCCGGCTCAATCCAAGGCTCGGACCGTCGCTGCCAGAAGTATAGCCGCGCCTCGCTCGTGTCGTGTGGAATATAAGCTTGTTGCCAGCCCACAGTGGAATCTTGTCTCTCTCACCACCACACGCATCCCGGATCCAAGCATGTCGTTCAACATTCCTTCCCAGCAGACGCAGATCGTGCTGCGCGAGCGCCCCACGGCTGCCATCAAGGACACGCTCGGCGCCGCCGACTCGACCTACGAGAAGCGCACCGTGCCTGTGCCCACCGAGGCCGAGCTCGCTGACGGCGAGGTGCTCGTCCGCGTCGAGTATGTCTCGCTCGACCCCGCCATGCGCGGCTGGCTGCGCGACGCGCGCTCCTACCTGCCCCCCGTCCAGATTGGCGAGGTGATGCGCGCCGGCGGCGTCGGCACCGTCGTCGCCTCCAAGTTCGCCGGCCTCGCCAAGGGCGACCAAGTGAGCGGCACGCTTGGCTGGCAGCAGTACGCCCGCCTCCCCGGCAAGACGGTCGAGAAGCGCACCATCCGCCAGGGTGGATCGCTCCTCGACTTCCTCGGCCCGCTCGGCTCCTCGGGTCAGACCGCCTACTGGGGCATCGAGGACGTAGCTGCCGTCAAGAAGGACGATGTCGTCGTCGTCACCGGCGCGGCAGGCTCCGTCGGCACCATCGCCGTCCAGCTCGCCAAGCTCAAGGGCGCCAAGGTCATCGCCGTCGCCGGCGCGGACGACAAGTGCGAGTGGCTCAAAAAGTCGCTCGGCGCCGACGAGGCGCTCAACTACAAGGCGCCCAACTTCCGCCAGACCTACCGCGACCTGGTCATCAAGAAGTACGGCTACATCGATGCCATCTTTGAGAATGTCGGCGGCAGCATTCTGGACATGTCGCTGCTGTGCATGAAGCCGCACGGCCGCATTGCGCTGTGCGGCGCCATCTCGGACTACAACAACCCCAAGCCCGACGGCCTCAAGAACTACCAGACCATCATCGCCATGCGCATCAAGCTCCAGGGCTTCATTGTCTTTGACTACCTCAAGCGATACGCGGAGGCGGAGGACAACATGGCGCGATGGATGAACGAGGGCAAGCTTGCACGCAAGTTCCACGTAGTCGGCGAACAGCACGACGCCCAGGCACGCGCGCAGGGCAAGAGTCTCGAGGAATGCCCCCGGGCGCTCAACGACCTCTTTGCCGGCAAGAACGTCGGCAAGATGGTCGTCCGTGTCGCTCCCTAGTTCCCGTGCTGGGATCGCAGTCCTCCTTGTAATATTAGCATTCTCGTCGTCATCGATTCTTTGCACGCAAGCTCAGCGTGACAGGTTCGGGGAGACGTACGTGTATTCTGGATTGGCAGTAGGTAGCAGTAGGTAGTAGGTGAAGAGGGGCGTGATGCGAGCACCTCGTCGTCCGCGTCTGCACACGCACGACCCTCCGCTCGCCAACCCTCACCGGCCTTTACCGACAACCACACGGGATCGCTGCACGACACGGCTCTGAGACGCGGGGGGAAGATCCAGGCCACTCGACCATTCGGCCATAGAATCGTAGGCTGCCACTCGTCGCCGCGTGTCTCGCTGTAACTTATCGGAGGCAGAGTCACTGGCCTAGGTCTGCGGATGTGCAGCGTTCGGACACCAACGCTCGTTGCCACGGCCCTCAACGCGGAGGAAACCAAATCAACCAACAAGGAGAACAAGTGTATAAATTGGCAGTGGGTAGCAAGGTCAAGAGGGGTATTGAACCACAGACAACAGGATCGGCAGGCAACACGGCCAGGGAGAAAAAGGGCAAAAGTGGATGTCCAGAATACAACGAATAAAAGTGGCTGAAAAAAAAAACGTAGAAATTCGAAGCTTGACCAGGTGGGGGTGCGCTACTCGCCGCTACCTGCACTCGATACGGGGCTGAGGATGCCGCTCTTGGCCTTGCGCGGGGACCTGTTCAAATCCCAAGTCCGGGACGATCCGATGCTGGCCATGCTGCGTTTCGATTTGAGCGGACTGCTCCCGGAGGCGGTGAGCATTGGGCGGCTTGAGTTCTTGCGCAGTCGTTTGGTTGGGCTGCCCGGAACCGCACCCGAGGCAGAGGCAGGGCTGGTCATGTCAAAGTCGTCGTCGTCCGAGCCGGCCATGGCGGTGGTGCCGGTGACGTTGCTCATGGTTCGCGTGCGCACCGAGCTCGTCTCGTCGTCGAAATCGTCCTCTTCACCCGACGATGCTCCAAAGCCGCGCAGGGGCACCTTGTAGCTGCCACTGGGTGCAACGGCCGAGCAGATCTCGTCGGCATCGTTCATGCCATAGTTGACAAACGCCAGCTGCGAGAATCCAGCCGCGCCCGTCGCCATGGGAGTGGGCGATTTCGATTTGCCGGGACTCGAGTGCGAGCGCGATGAGCTGGCGCTCTGGTGCGAGATGGTGCGCGCGCGCGTGGGCGAGGCCGAGGTGGTGAGTTCGAGCGTAAACCCACCCGTGTTGCCAAGGATGCTGCCCTTGCTACGCAGAACTCCGCCGCTGGCAGAGACCGACGAGCTCGACGACGAGCTCGACCCTCCACTACCCGTCGTCGTCGTCGTGATGCGTCGGTTCGAGGCGATCTTTCGCAGCCCGGGCGCAAGCGGTTTCGCCGGCGAAGGCGGCAACGCACTCGTCCCCACCATCGGACTCCTCAGGTGGGGCGTCGACTTCATCTTGGCCGGCGACCTCGGCGGACTCAACGGGCCCGTGAGCGTGCCTGGCACCTTCCTCGTCGTCAGCCCCGTCGACGGACCGGCCTTTGGGGCAGGGTTCGAGGATCGTGCCTGGTTCTGCATCTGTAGGAGCTGGAGCTGCTGTTGCTGCAGCTGGCGCATGCGCGTCTGCTGCAGCGCCAGATGCTCACGCGATGCATCCGCCGGTGCAGAGCGTGGCGTCGCCGCTGTGGGGGGCACCAACCCCGAGCCCGGACCTGCCATAAGCTTGGCTGGCTCGAGCGTCGCCGCTCCCTGCTGCTGCTGCACGAACGGGTTCTGCAGCTGCATCGGATTGGCTGCGATCTGGCTCGCAAGTGAGGGTGACGACTCGGTTGTACGCAGCACCGCATGGCTAGCCCGTCTCGGCGGAAGAAGCATCTGCTCACCACTGCTGCCAAAGTGGCCCGTGGCGCTCACCATCCCGCTTGGGTTGAGCGTGAGCGCATGAAGACCGCGGTCGCCCACCGACGATCCGCTGATGCTGTTGTGTCGTGGCGGCGGGTATACCGACGTGTACCCCGCCAAGTCCTGCGATCCCGTGGCGACACTGCCTGCAAACAGCGTCGCGTCGTGCTGGTGCACGAACTGGGGCGTGAACACACCCTGCTGCGTCGGCTGTCCTTGCTGCTGCGCGAGGTGAAGGTTGGAGAACTGGTTCTGGATTGAAGGTGCAAAGCTCGCCGAGTCCGCCGACAGCGGCATCCCGGGCACCCTCGGGTCAAAGCCAGCATAGCCCTGCATCGGCATCGGCACGTAGCCCTGCACGCCATGCTGGTAGGCGGGCATGCCGCTCGGCCCTGGTTGGAGAGGATGCTGCGGTGTCACTGGCGTGAGCAAGCCCGTGGAGCCCAGGCTGAGCTTGCGCGGCGAGTTGCCTTCCATGCCATACATGAGCGCTGCCTGCACTGCCTTGGCTGCTCGCTCGCTCGCTTCCTGGCCGGCAAACTGCTGGCTCGGCGTGACAAAGTCCTGGTACACGCCGAGCCGTGCCGCCTGCTGCGCGACGTGGATCTGATGCAGCTGCGCGAGCCTCTTGCGCTGCTCATCGGTCATCTTGTCCGGGTCGATCGTCGACTCGGCGGGGTTGCCAATCGTAACGGTGCGGCCGGGAGCCACCTCGATGGTCTGGTCGCCTTCGCCGCCCTGCGGTACTGCGACGGGTGACGGGGCAGAGAGGTCGCGCTGTACCGCGCGGCGCTGGAACAACGCTGACGACTGTGCCACACTGGCATTGCCCGACAGCTCTGTCAGGGCGGGCACTCGATCCTTGCTCTCATCTCCTGGCAAAAGGGTTTGCGGGTGGCCGGGCACATCGTTCGCCGGGCTGCTGGCGGTGCTAGCTCGCGGACCGAGTTCGAGACCCAGCGCATTGTCGCCCGGGATGCGCTCCTGCGGGAAACCAACGTCGATGAGGTAGTCGTTGATGAGCGTCTGTGACCCTGCAGCGGCGAGCACGGGGTCGTCGCGCTGGAGAAGCGGGGCACTGATGCACGAGCGAAGTGTCCGAGAAGGAGCGCCGAGGAAACCCGGGCCGTCGCTGCCTGCAGGGCTGAGATCCGAGCTGAGCTGATCGAGGCCGGCGCCGAGGCCGCCGGGCGAGTCGAGTTCGTCGTCGGCCTGGTCGATGCTGATAGCGAAGCT